AAAAAAAAAAAAAAAAAAAAAAAAAAAAAAAATAATAATAATAATAATAATAATAATAATAATAATAATAATAATAAAGTTGTTTGAAATTTTTAAAAAAATATTAGAAATACTAATATTGTAATAACTAAAATATAAAAAAGTAAAAGCAGTATAAGACTGATTTAATAATAAAATTTTGTATAATTTAGTCTGAATAATATTAATTAACTATTTTTTTTTTTTTGGTGTTAAGGATACTAATTAGCTAATAAAAATTTCTTTAAACATAAAAATATATAATTATATAAATTTTTTTAAAATATATACAAATATTATATTAAATTATATATAGTTTAATATAAACTAATCAAATCCTAAACTTATTATATGATTTATATATTTCTGCTTTAGAATTACTTTTAGTTTAATTTATATATATACGTATTACAAAAATTTTTATTGCATTTATACAATACAGATATTTAAAAAGCAAGTATTTAAAATTTAGCTTATATAAAAAATTAAATTTAATTAAATAATTAAAATATACAAATATAAGTTTTAGAAATATATTAAAAAACAAATAGAAAATATTCTATATGAACTATTGGTTAAAACATTATTTTTTATTTAAGAAACTAATATTTAAAATTGGTTAAAGTAAAGCTATTCTTTAGAATATGGTTGGCCTTTATAAAGCTAACTTTTCTAACAAACAAATAACTATTTAAAATAATATATTAAAATAAATATTTTTGAAGTTTAAATCTATCATATAAATTTTATTTAGAATAAAAAGAATAGTTCAATTTAACTAAGGTAACGTCATCACTAGTAATAAACAACTCTAAAATTAATAGTTTAAAAAATTTTGAAGTGTAATATGAAAAAGTTCAAGAAACTAAAACAATGCAAAATCATTTATAACTTGAAATTTTGTCTATTTGTGTATTAACAAAAAGTTTTTTTTGCATAATTTTGGTACAACTATAACCATCTAAACCTAACCTACTTACCTAATAGTAAAATGGTTTTTCTTGGTTTTGCAATAAGATCACATGATGTGCGAAATTTTTAGAACGACCCCAGGATCGCCGTCAAATTTTCACTTTCACGTGATGATAATCCAATAGCGAGTTTCGTTTTAATGTAACTTTACACAATCAGGAAAATCAAAATAAAACGTTCGCTTTTCAAAAATTGCTTATTTCTCAAAAACTTCATAAGAAACCACCTTTTGCACTCTAACAAAAAAATTCCTCGCGTGATTTTACTATTACCTCTAAAATCTAGCTCTATTATAAACGCTAACCCTAACTTAACCGAATTTAAAGATTTTTAAACGCTGTCACGTGGAAGTGAAAATTTTGACGGCGATACTGGATTTTTAGCATAGCGGGCTTTCATTCCGATTGGCTAATTTTTGTAGATCATCTGATGACATTACATAATCTAATTGGCTAATAGAAAACGAGCTCGAATACATATTTACAATCACAATTTTTAACCCATTGAACTTTATAGTTATTATCAAAGGCGTATCTGGTTAGACTTAATAAAAAAAAGTCTTTAAATACATATATAGATAATCTTTAGTAACAATATCTACTACATCGTTTCGTTTAATAAGGAGATAAAGAATAAATCGTATAAGTAATTAAAAAGAACTATCAACTGTCAATAAAACTAATACACGCACATAACGAGTATAAGCAGTATAAAAACCAAAAAACTAATTATAGAACATAACATGTAATCGTATATATCCTACATATCTATATCTAATATATTGTACATAGTTTTTAAAACTTGGTCGAATAACCTATATTAAGAAAAAAATATTGAAAAAATGAACTGTAAATATTGTAGATTAAATCGTTATTTTCAAGGTTTTTTTTAAAACTTATCACTTATTAGCCAAGGTACAAATTACCTTGCACCCCATCTCTAACTTCTGGATTTAATTTGATATGTGATAGAGAATAAAGTGTAGTTTCAGAATTTATATGCCGCATCCAGCCCACTATGCTGAACTACCCAGCATAGCATTAATTCTGACTAAATGTATTGTCACATATTGCAGCATATAACAGCTGACTTCGAACGAATTGGCAGCCATGAAAACAAATTGTCAAAGGATGCAGCATATAAATTCTGAAACTATACTTTATATTCTATAACCAGGGTTCTCAATGGAGCTGCGAATGGAGCCAAATGGAGCTCTGAATGGAGCCAATGGATACTAATTTTTTGGACTCCATTCGCATAGCTGCTGAGCTCCATTGGCTTCATTGGCTCCATTGCCAACACTGTCTATAACATATCAAATTAATCCGGAGAATGGTTAATTAATCCAGAAGTTAGAGATGAGATGCACTTTTTGTCTTATAGGTTAAAGTGATTCGGCAAGGTAATTTGTACCTTAGCTGAGTGGTAATTATTTTTACAAAAAAAACTTGAAAATAGCGATTCAAACAACAATATTTACAGTTCATTTTTTCTTAATATAGGTTATTCGGCCAAGTTTTTAAAAGCTACGACAATATATTAGATACAGATATAGAGCATACGTATGTTCTATAATTAGTTTTTTGGTTTTTATACTGCTTATACTCGCTATATGCGTGTATTATTTTTATTGATAGTTGACAGCTCTTTTTAATTTACTTATACTATTCATTATATCTCTCTTTATTAAACGAAACGATGTACTAGATATTGTTACTAAAGATTATCTATATATGTATTTAAAGGCGCATTTTATATTAAAAATCGTGATTGTAAATTCAACTTTATAGTTTAAATATGTCTTTTTGTCCCAAGAGTTTTTTTACTTCGTTTTCTATTAGCCAATCAGATTTTGTAATGTCATCGGGTGATCTACAAAAATTAGCCAATCAGAATGGAAGCCTGCTATGTTGGGAAGATCTATGTTACGTATCGGTAACGCTTTCACATAATCAGCGATTATAGTTTAAATTAAATTGTGTTAACAGCCAGATAATCTGATCCACAAGATTTGGATATAAATAGTGACATTTATACTTATAAAATACTGAATTCGAAGATTAGTCTTCAAAATCATATGGAGTCACAATTATTCACTGAATGTCATTATCATCGTTTTTCTTCTGGAGGAAGAACGTAATAACTTTTATTCGATTATCTTTTGTAAAGTGATGAAAATTTGGATTATCTAATAATTATATATTAATTGATAAGGAATATATATGGGTTGGCATTGTTTGAAAGTTCAATGGAAAGCGGCCTTCCGGTCGACTCAGAATTTCCATCAAATGTTTTAAAGTCCTTTCCACAAGATATTTCGCATAAACCTCGAAGTCAAAAAAAATCAAGTTCGTTATTTAAAATTTCTAGAATATATTATATATTGGATGTTTCTTAAATCTTTCGTATCGGATGCCATTGTATATAGAAGCAATAAAACATCTATTTGTAAGTTCATTCTATGGTATAACATGTTTCGTTTCTGCTATGGGCTATTGGAATACTGTAGAACTTCCTTTAAATCAAGACATTGGTAATTTTTTTTAAATTGTTGAAATTATTTTATTTTTCGATCACGTATTTATCACAATGTGATTCGCTATTATCACAGGAGAAATAGTTTCAATGGATGTATTTTCTTCCGATCAATCAAATCTAATTTTTGCATTGTCAACGGTTCATGCAAGTATTTCTAATGATGCACACGAATTTAGATATAAATTCCTTCTAGCCTTAATTATTATTTAATATTATTCATAATAGACTGAAGATGATGGTCAACACAACTTTACACTACGGATTTATTCGTTAGATGATGCATCTAAAATGTATATCGAAGAAGCAATATTTAGAATTGCGGGTATCTAAAAATAATAGTTTTATAAATAGATGAACAAGGTATTAATAATTGTTCGGGGATAATAAGAATTTTTATATCCTTTAATAATATAGAACAATGTCAAGTTATTAGGATTCCTTTTACACCAATGCAACTTTTTCATACCGGAATAAATATTAATGGAGAATCGAATACGTGTCTTCTTTTATGCGGAAACGATGGAGGCGTTCATCTCTACTTAAGAGTAAGATTAAAATACTTTATTTTCTTCCTTTTATTATCGATATTTACCACAAATTTAATTCTGAAAACAAAGAATAAATCTACAAATAAATGGGAAGATGAATCCGTTCGTTCTTATTTTCCTTTGCTTACGTCATTGTCTGAATCAAGCTCAAGGTAAGTTAGATTCAAAAACAATTAAAAACTTGTGATGATTTCATTTCTAATTTATCCATGCACTTAAAGTATATTATCTCTAGACATCCGAGAAATTGGAGATTTAAAAATAGTTGCAGCGGGATGTCAAAATGGAAGATTATACGTTTCAATCATGAAGTTTGATACCTTAACTGGGGATTTTGGTAATTATATATATATATTTTTAATGAAACAAACGTTTACTAAATGAATATTATCAAAATTTATATCGGTAGCCCCAATTGATGAACCAGCTTTTGTTGTGCTTTTTAGTCCAATAACCTCTATATCAGTATTCTCTTCATCTTCAAGTAAAAGTTAGTATCAATAGATATGATGAAAATTTTTATCTCCTATTCATTGTTTTAACATTTTGTCATGTCATATGTCCACAGGCAATCCGGGTGATATTCATATGCTAGTAACTTGTGCTGTCGAACAAGCAATAATTTATTGGTTTAATTTTAATTATTGTAATAGTAGTTGTATTTGCTTATATGGTAAATTTAATATTCATATGGATCACTTTTTACTTTCTGTAGCAATGTTGATAAACTAGCTTTGAACCGTCCAGTATACTTAAAAGAATGTTCTCAGTATGATAGCGTTCTTTGCTCTAATATAATGGATGTTGATTGGGACGGAAAGAATGAAATTCTTGTTGGTACATATGGAAGAGAATTGCTTGTTTACAAACAAGGTTGATATACTCTAAATAATAATAATAATATATATATATATATATTTGCTTAACACAATTCTTTTTCAATTAGACATTGATGATCATAATGTATTGACTTTCAAATTAATATGGCAAAGATCATTTAGTCATCCAATTTATCAAATTACAAATTTAGATTTAAATCAAGATGGTATTGAGGAATTAATTGTGGCTACTCAACATGGAATTCATATATTACAGGTAACTTGTTTAAAAAATCATTGGTTAGATTTCTTTAGCCAGAAGTATTTATAAATATTTTATAATTAGCCAAACTTAGAAAAGGCAAAAACAGAATTACTTCAAGTACTAAAAAACCTTGAGGATTTAAAAAAAGAATTGGAAGAACTAAAAGAACAATCATCATAAATGTACAAATAAATTTTTTATCAATAATCAATATGATCATTGTCTTTGAAAATTCACTACAAAGTATGTAGCGTTAATTTTATTAATCGTAATATAAATTAATTTAAAGATAAAAATCCATCTACTGTATCTTACGTTTTACAATTTACTTATTTAATCTAAGTATTGGTTCAAATAATTTCAAAATCGCGTCCTGGAACACATGTTCAGAAAAATGTATAATTGCATGTTCTTTGGCATTAATTTGTATACTTTTAAATTCATCATCTGGCAAAGAAAATACATTAAATAATTCGGTTGCAAATGTTTCAGGATCATTTGCGAGAAATCCTAATGTAAAATAAGATCTTATAAATTTAAATTCTTGAGAATGAAAATAAACAATACTATTACCTGTTCTTTGACCATTATATGAAATGACAATGTCCATCTTAGGACCACCAGAATTGTGAGCAACAGTAATTATTCCAGCAGCCTATTAAAATTAATTTGTTTATTATTGTACATAAAATGATTTGATGTAAAAACAACCTTACCATATACTCAACCACGCCAATTCCAAAATGTTCATTCCACATAGTGTGTATTCCAACTTTAGCTTTTGAGAGCCAATCTACAAGAACTTGAAAACTTGCGTTTATTTCAAATTTCACATTATCCTACATAAATCAATCCTATTAAAATAGTAATAATAGTAATAATAATGATATAATGAAACACGTACCACAATATCCAGCTCTTTGCATTTTTCTTTCAATTTAGCAATCCTAGCATCATCACTTGCGTTACGGGAACTTCCTATTAGCACAAGTTCAACCTTGTCTCTACCTTTCCGGAAATTAGGATGATCCAATAGCAATCGGTGTAATGATTTAAGTTGAAGCAGATGATCTTTTTCTGGCCTTTTCAAACATTAATGATAATCAATTATAGTGAAGTTTTTATAAAAAAGTAAATAAGGATCATACCTAAACTGAGCAACACTAACAATAATTCTATGTCTTCCATCTAAAGGAAGTTTCGATAGAGCTGCAGTGTCACATGGTGGATAAACTATCTTACTATTCACACACCAAAGTTGATCAATATGACCCTTAGTCCAACTTGAGTTGACCATTGCTATTTCAGCGAATGACCCTGCAAGTGAGTAAAGGTATGCAAAAATTCGATAGTACCTGGATGCAAAAAAAATGAAACATTCAATACAATTAACTCTGAGAACAACATGTTATATCTAAAGTAGTCATTTATTTGAAATTAAATCTCATGCGCGCATTAAGCAATAATTTTAGTCAGACGGTACTTTAGATATACTAAGTAATAACTCCAGATAAACGACTACTTTTAATTACAACACATATAATCAAACTACCATATTTTTCCAATACTAAACACACGACTTTGAGAAATTAAATTATCATTATTGAATCCTGGACGTCGTTCCTGTACTTTGCTAAGCATGTCTGAACTAATAAATAAAATCAACCGCTTAATAGGAATTTTAAGAGTTTTAAAACATCAGTTATAAATAAAATATCTAAATATTACTCACCTTATAGTTGGATAATGTACGTAAGCGGCAACTTTGCATCCAAAGATCTTTTTAGCTAAAGGATACGTAAACGCGTAACCCATTGTATCTACATATATTCTGGTACATGTCAATTATGTATACGCTTCTTTTTAAAAGACGGTAAAATAAGGGATCTACTGTAAAATCCTAAACAAAATTGAGATAATGCGACTAAATTTGTCAGGATTTTTGATGGACCCCAGAATCATACCAAAATAAATGTCTGGCGTTAATTTCTTCAAAGCTTCGAATCCAAGAATTATGGAACCAAAGCTCTGACCCAATATAGTAAATCTTGGGTATCTGAAACAAATTAACAACATTGTTAATACAAAGTAGACATTGTCTTTGAATTTTGATACATTGAAGTTTTAAGTTTTAATTTTATTTACCGACTATCCTCTACCCATTTACGATTATTTAGGAATACAAAGGCTATGGTGTCAGGATTAAGTTCGATACTGAATCGCGTCTAATCATAGCTCAATTATATTATTAAAATTATTTTAAAAAAAGCATAAGATATTTTTACGAGTGTAAAAATCTTAATCACCTTAACTTTTTCCAAAATTTCTTCTCTAGTTACATCTGTATCGCCGGTATACACAACACACATTACATGCGAATAATTTTTTTGAATAGCATGGATTGCAGTCCAAAGAACACGTTCTCCACCACCGCCTGCATTACTATATTTTAGTTTGAATCAACAACATGCAAACAATTAACATCAATGTAGTACCATTTAAAATACTTAACTGTTTTTTTAAAAAATACTTACCAGTATGGATGAAAAAATCCAAGAATTAAAAGAGAATTTTTCATCGAATTAGATTCGATTGAATCCAAGAATTCTTTTCGATTCTTCACTGCATAAAATGATGCTCTCCGTTTTATACTGCTGTAAATAATAAACAATACAGAAAATGAACCTAGTACTAGGAGAATTAAATTAGATTGGGTAAATAATGTAAACATTCTTCTAGTTAACTACGAGTAAAATTCGCGAAGAGTTTGTAAAACGAAAGAAAGCTAAATATGTGAATCAACTTTCAGGACCCAGTTTTAATGCACTATTGCTATAGTTACACCAATTTGATTAAACTCGATTATCCCATAATAGTAACGTGAACAAGTTAGATCATTAAGAGGTTCACCTTCAAAATTTCCGATTCAACAAACTTGAAAAATTGCCTAGTTATCAGTTATAAATCTAGTTTTTTTTTCTAATTGGATGATTACTGAATGACTATACATCTCAAGTTAAGAAAAAAATTTTATTACCATCACCACACCATTTAATTTTCTTTTAGTAAATTTTTTGGTACTAAACTTGGTAAACATTTTTTGCTTAAAACGTTATGTGAACAAATTTTAATATTAATAGATAAAAAAAAAAGATTGTTTTAGATCTAATTACTTGTACGTATTCAAAATTCATATATATGAAGACAAAAATTTATACCAAATTGATAACTGCAATAAAGTAAAAACCAAATTATCGATTCTTTTTGCCCATTGTTTTATGCATAAAGCTTTTATTCTAAGTATCTCTAGATTTAATATTTTAAAAAACAATTTCAAAATGTTATTCATTTGTTTCTATACGTTTAGATGGTTGACTAAAAGTTTCATTAATAGCAATCAATTATTTCTAGTAATTGATTTGGCATTAGCCGATAAAATTGACTTAGTCGACTACTGTAAGTCAGTCGATTTTATAAAAATTTGACTATCGATTCTATGTAGAAAATGACCGAATAATTAGGCAAGAAACCAATATTATAATAGTAGTAGTAGGAGAATTCAAGATATTTTTAAATTTCGTTGACAAATTTAGGTCCATATTCGTAAATACTTGAATTTCTAACCTACAAGATATGTTCATTGTTTATTTTAACGCAATTGCGTAAAACTTCAAGTATTTTTCATAAGAAAAATGGTGAAACGTTTCA